GTGGGGCGCAGCCCATTGGGTTGTGAAGACGTGTAATATTTTGTCGATATTTGGACGGAATGCGGTGCCTTCATTTTCAGGGTAGACTATTAGCGATAACTTTACAAAGACAGAAAAATCAACGAGTTTTATAATATCTGATCAGAAAAAAAGAAGAATGGATATCATCTGACTAACCCTACTTATGTTTCTGTGAATTTATTTCAGTCAAATCAATTCTTCTTTACACTTATGATCTGATAAATTGAAACAGGAGATCGCTGGATGATACAAATTGAATTTTGGCCCGCAAGGTTGCACCAATACAACTCCTGATTACTCTTCTTACACTTCGTCAACTCCGCGATACATTTCGCGCTGCGTTTCAAGTAAAAATTTCCCTTGCAAGCTTCTACAGTAATTACCTTACAATATCATAACAAGTTAGCAATACGAAATGACTCACAGTACAACCACCCTGCCATTAGAACTGGCTTTCTTCACACCGTAACTTCGAACAGACTCAAGTTCGTCATTGGGGCTGTATAATTGCCAATAATTCTTTGAGATCTGTAGTTAGAATTGCGTTTATTGTGTGACGCCGTTTATCCAGGTAGATATACACCAACGTTTCGGTGGAACTCCTAGTTTCCATCTTCAGGGTAGAAAAGTACCTTCTCTCTTCCACCCTGACGACGCAGACAACAGATTCCTCGGGAAGATGTCGGTAAATATTTACCAAATTACACGGCATCACATCTCAGCAGACCGTAATCCTAATATTTTTTAAGACATCTTGTTTTCGATTATCGGCCAGAAATAAAATTTTTCGATGTTTTTCTGAGCTACCACTGATAAATCCTTCTATCATATAATAATCTGAGAGAACTTCGTTAAACAAACAACAATCTAGTCAGATTCTTACCACGTGTATTTTTTTAAGTTTCTATTCAAACCACGGTGTATCGATAGCTAGTCCTGCATGCGTCTTCAGGCAGAGAGAGGGGCTTAATTTATTGAGCCTGTGTTTCCAAACACACCCGTCAGATCGAGTCTCCCTTTTGTCTGACGACGGAAGCAGCAAACAGGACGTCGACCGTAATACAGCCTACTTTTCATAAGGTCATTAATGGACTTTTTCATTTATCCGAGAAACCCTTGAATAAGTTTTGCTGGAGTTCTACATCAAAGACTTTCGCTCATCTATAATTAATGAGCTAATATTTTAACTGAGCTTAATTAACTTCAAAGAAACTTTTAACAATTTCGTGTACTGCGTTATGGAGCATGACCTATCCAAGATTCGATTCTAAAGCGTTCTGAAGATGGTATATAACACACAGACTTTCAATCAATGGACCAGTGACTGATATCATCTCTTTCTAAGGGGGCCCAACTGAGTAGGTGTCTTCCAGCCCCTCACCTGAGGATACAAACAGATCCAGTTTCCGAAACGTTGTGTTTTCTATTTTCTAAAATAAAGGAAGATGAAAAATGTCCAAAAACCCAGCAATTCTATTCAATATTATATTTTGTAAAGACGATAATTTTTATTTCATCACACCCGTTTTTATCGGTACTACAGAAATATGAAACTGTCCCTATGCTTAATTAATCAGTCACCACGACATAAAGACTTATGGGAAAGTTAAGGTTCGGTCACACAGAGCGCTACGCTATGTTCGCTACGTACGCTACGTACGCTGTAGACACTCTGCGACGCAGCTAATATAGGGAACATAGCGTACGTAGCGTACGGAATTCTGTGTGGCCAGTCACATTGGCAATAAAGGAAGATATTTTTCTGTTCGTATAGCAAACATAGCGTACGTAGCGCTCTGTGTGGCCGAACCTTTAAGATTTTTGACCTCAACACTAGACAGAGGTGAGTAGTGAGCTACACGCCGCGGCCGCTTTACCCCTTGTACCCATTAGATAGCTGATTGGGCGTGATACAGAGCCGGTGTAGACCCTGAGGAGCCTGCCACTGCAGGGGAGTCCCCGTATCATGACGCTCTACCGACCGAGCTATCGCGGCTGCCGTGGGCAACACACTCGCAAAGCAATAGCATTCTGCGGTGCCACGGCAAGCGACTGGAACGTGTGTAGTTGCAGCGCGTCGCCACAATATTAACTTTCTGAAGCACGCGACAGAAGACAAATTGAGGAACATTTGTTTTTAGCGATCAAAGCCATCCGTACGGCAGCAACTTTGCTCGAAGTACAGTCACGGCAAAGTTTCAGTTCCTTGTAGTTTATTTCACGATATTGTCACTAGCTAGACTGTACAGCGCCGGAGTGTAGGATAACAGATAAACCGGAAACGAGTTGGAAGGAAGTGATCATTGCTTAATCGAGATAACGTCAAGGAATTTTGCTTGGAGGGCCTGAGGAAAACCACAAGAACCTCAGTCGAGATAACTGATATTCTAGTCAAAATTCGAACCGAGCACCTCCCGAATACGAGTTAGAGCGTTATCGCTACGTTAACCCGCTTGATAACATTAATGTTACATGGAAATTTAAGTTTCAACTGAGCCTCACATAAAACTTGCAATAATTGGTGTTCTCCAGTAAAAGGTTAAAAAAGGTGAAGCTGTCCCTGTGCTTAACTAATTAAGCGCTACGCCATGGAGGCGTATGGGGGAGTGGATGTATAGATCCTCATTTTATTGTCCTCGGCACTTGTTAAGAGCTGAGTGGTCAGCTTCATGCCCCGGCCGCTTTATCCCCGGGGAAAGAGCTCCCGGTACCCATTGAATAGAAGGTTGGGTGGACCTCAGGACCAGTCTGGACGACGTGAAGAAGAGAAAATTCTTGACCCTACAGGGACTCGAACTCCGAACCCTCAGTCGTCAAGCCAGTAGCCAGTCCCTATACCGACTGAGCTATCCCGGCTCCAGTGATGTCCAGTGATTTACTTAATTTTTCATATGTTGACTTGTTGAAATATGGTTCCAAATATTATTAATTAAGACGTTATAATGAAGTGTTTTATATATATATATATATATATATATATATATATAAATTATTCGGTAGTATTTATACTCCAACGCTTTAAATTCGAGTTGTAAAACTCCGAATATTTATGTAATACAATTTCGTTAATTGTGGCGAAATTCTTGTACATCTTCAGAGTGGCTCAGAAGTAAGTTAACCTAAAGACTTCCCTCGCATTAACGGGAACGGTGACGTTTAAAGCATCCAGTGAACCTGCAGAACAGGATAACACCGTTGCGCACTGAACGTGGAGAAATACATTTCGAAGATTTTTTTATAAATTCACCGCGAGAACCGTATGAAAAGCATAAATGAATTCTGAGGGAGAATGCACATTTTTTAAGCTGTGGTACATACAGTTACCACTCTGCTTTAAAGGGTTAATACATGTATCTGTGTGTGCTTGTTATTTTATTTTTCATCACCCTGTATTCTGATGCGTCAGAACTGGGTGAACATTTCGTGATGACACTCCTGTCAGTGTGAAGTGTGTCCAGACGCTATTCTTTAGAAAAAATACGCCTTTATTTCGTCAATGTCAGTCACATGACCATCTGCTCTTATGCCTTTAATGAAATGTGGATTTGGGGGCTTAAGTACATACATATATAAACACGGACATCGGCCACACGGTTCCATTCAAACGGTTATAAATATTATACACACTGTAACCATAACTGACACATGAATTCAGAAATATAAACACAATCAGAGAACGAAATGTTGAGGTGAGATTAAAACTAGGAACATTGAATATAGGGCTCTGGAATATTACACTGATGTGGTAATTTCAATACAGTATGACACTTACTGAGTATTAAATTACTTTATTAACTGATATCCGTGACCACAGATGGTACAACATTTGTTACACACGGAGAATGCCGTTAATATTTTTCGTGTTTTACCAAGCAGAGGTGTCTTTTCTTCATCTGTGACATGTTTCCTTCGCCTGACAGTACTACAATACGCTGTACAGTGGCTACAAGTTTGCTCAGACAGTTACGAGATAACTCCGAAATTGAGAATTGGCCTCATATTCGAAAACTGTACGGAAGTTTTAACCGCTTTAACAAATGTGGATACCGTATGTATTGAGAAGACCCACTCCCAAATAACAGCTATGTAAACAAGCGACAGTAAAGAGCCACTGATAGGAAGCAGCTGGGTGGTGACGTTGTTTCACTGAAAATGAGAGAAACACGCAATAATGGAAGAGACGTTTTCTGTGCGCTCCGTGCCGGGGCTATATAACGAGGACTAGTACTTCAGTCGAGGAAATGCTGAATTGGTACCCAAATTTCACGTTGCACTGTTTGCTTCACATGCAGCCCTCCCATTGGTAACGCCAAAATGTCGCCCTAATATAGTCCTCCCAATGTTATCTCAATTTTTATTATAATGCACCCCTTCCAGCGTTGTATAAAACAATGAAAATGAAAAAAAAATTGATCATATTCTCTACCTATAACAAAAGGACAAGCGGGCACTGCGTAGGAACCTTCAAAACCTAGTTTCTTACCCTCTCTAATGTAGTGTCTCTCTAAAACCCCCACTTTCTTTCCTTTCTCTCTCTCTCTCGCACAGTCGAGCTAGCCCCAAGCGACAATCATGCCCCTAGACCAGGCATGTCAAACTCAGCTTGTACAGAGGGCCACCTCAGCTCTATAAATAATAGTCGAGGGCCGCACTTCAAAATAGAAATATACATTAGATTTTGATACAAGGAAATTTAATTCTATTTATTAAGTGGAATAATTTCAATATAATTATCTAAAGTGGAACACTTATATTTTGTCCACAAATCAAAAATGTAATTTTACCTTCTATTTCACAACAGAAATAAGCGATTTCCCATTTTCCTTGAAAAACACGGCGCTCACTTTCAATGGTTCTTTTTTTTGCTACTTGAATTTTTTGAAAGCGACATTGTCCTTTAAAAGTTACTGTACATATTTCCTCCGAAACGTCGGTATCCGCTTGCAAGGCAGCACGGTGTCAGCACCTTCTGTACTCACCGGACTTGCCCACGCCGCCCTGACCAAGGACCATGACCTTGAGTGGTTTCTGACGTGAGCACAGTCCGATCTTGCAGAAGGAAGATTTCGGGGATGAGGATGACGTCATAGTTCGGCGGAAGTTCTCTGGTTCCCGGAGGCTGGACGAGATCCTCTGGAGGTGTAGGGCGCCATTACCTGACGTCACATTCTGGGCTCATGTTTTCTCCCTGCAACAACACACAGATTAACTAAGGAAATATAACAGAGTATTCCTTGAAAAGCTAATAGTTTCTCAGCTAGTCAAGATATTTGTGCTACTTTCATGGAAGCAGAGATTTCATTACCATCTTCACAACAGCCCCCTACTGTTCCCTATCCCGAGCCAGCTGAATCCGAAACATGACCTACCATTATTTGAATATTCATTTACTTAAAGGGTTCCATCTTCTGGGAAGTAATGTCGTGTAGTCCGTTAGAAGTCAACCGACGTTTCGGACGAACAAGCTTGTCAACTTATTTCACGCTGGTTTCTCTCTTGGCTTATTCTTCGACGCTGAAGACGGAGGCGCTGTGTTCTTCCGAAACGTCGGTTGACTTTTAACGGCGTTACATCCCAGAACATAGAACACTTCATAAACACCGTTGTGAGGACCTTAAATTCTACACTTAAGTATTATCCTTCCATTTACACTTATGTTTTCCAAGTTCTTCGTTCCTTCAGGTTTTCCTACAAAAACTTTGTATGCATTTCGGTCGCTCCTCTGCATGCAACAATCACTCGTAAACAGCTGCCAAGTTGCAGACTCTGTGTAACATGCCGTAATATTGTGATACTGTACTCTTCAAGCTCGAGGGCCACTTTCTTCAGACCGCAAACCGAGGACGCGTCAGGCTAGGGTAACAAGGGGCCCAATTTACATGAACACGGGAACGCCTTGGATTTGTACTTGAGAAGTGCTCGGTTCGAAACTGAACCGGGACTACTGTAACCTTGACTGAGGTAATTCGTAGTTTTCCTCAGTCTCGCTAAGCAAATTCCGGGGTAGTTTCTGGGCTAGGGCACGATCGATTCCTGAGGTCGATGCTGGTCATATTGATGATGATGATGATAATATCAACCTGTAATCCTGACTAATTAAATTGTTTGAGCAATTATGGCCGAAACGTCCATCAATAAGCATACACATTCATGGACATGGTAGGCGAGGTGAGGGGATAACCAAAACAGCTTCCATCTTGGTGCAGTTGCTGTTTTCTTATTTAAATTGAAACAATGACGGAAATACGGAGTGATTCTAAATTATTGTCGGTGTTTCCGTGATCTATAACTTTCAAACTGGAAATAATTGAATAAAACTACTTATGAAATATGAAAGTGTAACTCAAAATGTTTCATTAGCTATAAAACTAATACTGAGAGTGCTAGACAACTTCAACACGCACGCCTTTCGTGACACGTAAAGTTTGAAAATTACAGAACACGGTGACACCGACAATAATGTTGAATTACTCTGTATAACAAACATTAGGAGTATTTTTAAATTTTCTTGAACGCAGTTTGTTTAGTTATCTGTTTGAAAAGATTGAGTTTTCTTGGAAGCCGTATGAATACAAAGACATTGAATTATAAACTGAACACTCAGAATGAATTCAGGCATTGCAGAAATAGAACCTGAAATGTAAAATAAAATATACCACTCTTCCGTGGTACACCCTCTGGTAAACACCGATTTAATCGAAGAATTCCGTCTTCTGGGATGTGGCGCCGTGTAGATATTGCGTAAACCGACGTTTCGGAGGAATGTATGGCCTCCATCTTTAGAGTTGCAGACTGCAGCCACCTTGTCACGCTGGTTGCTCGCTCTCGGAATTTTATACCCTGAAGATGGAAGCGATACATTCCTCCGAAACGTCGGTTTACAAATTATCCACACTGCGCCACATCCCAAAAGACGTCATTCTTCATAGTCACCGCCGTGTAAACCTTAACTCTTACACCGATTTAATAATTTTTTGCATTTAATTCTAGATAAATTTAATTCATGTTACCTCAGAAAACACTATCCTCCCCTTGCTAGGTGTTATCAGCGCAACAGTGCGAGTATCGCGCGAAGTATCTTGTTGAGTGCGCCTACAGAAGGCTTGTGGCGAGGTTTCCACAGTCTGCGGACCAACCTCCCCTCAACTCCTTCCAGTTCGCCCTCGGCTCAACAGCGCAAGGCGCTCCGTTTCTCCTCCGCGGCTACCGCCCTCATCCACACTGACTCACGCAATACCCGATACCTGCGTGAGGCAGACATGGAGGCGCGACAGGTCAGTCAGTATTGCGACAAATCGCGGTTTGTTCGCCCCCGGGGGCAGAAGACTTTGTCACTCCAGTGCTCAGACCGGTTCTGAGGTCCACCCAGGTTTCTTGCCAGTGGGTTCCAGGGGTTAAAGCAGGCGGGTTGTGAAACTGACAGCTCACCCCCCCATTGTCTGCCGAGACGTAGAAAGCATGGAGCTATTTTTCTGTTCTACCCTACGTTCTTATGACGTCTTCTGCAATTGAAAAAAAAAACTTCGTCACCTTTCGCCTTACAATTCGACACTACGCAGTCTGAGATGCTGATGACGCCATAAAGTAACCGGAAAACGGAAATGATACCGTCATTGTTTCAAAATGGAGTCGCTTGTGATGATTGGCTAATATCATCATAAATGAGATGCAAGTAAAACGTAACAAGTAAATTAAATATTTGGAACCTGAAGAGACGAACCAACGCCCTTCCCTTGTCGAGAGAAGGCCCATTTCCAAACATATAAATAATCTCACTCCCTCACTCATAATTTGCCTCCATCTTCGAAGTATAAAAGTAAGTCGCGTGGAAAGGGACGGTCAGAGATGCAGGGAAGACTGAACAAGGTCTAGAGCTGATAGCGAACCAATGGGATGTCGTGTCTGACGGCTACTTACCAGCGCGGCTTCTCTTCTACACGTAATTTTGAGCCAATATTTAGTTAACCGAATGGATTGCTGTAGCGATAACTATTTCAAATCTTATTCTGGTGGTGTTCCGTTTGAATCTCGGCTGAGTCATTAGCTATCCCGATTGATATTTTTGATGGTTTTCCTCAGTCCTTCAAGGCAAATTCCAGAGTAGTGTTTCGAACAGGTCACATCTTCCTTCTAAATTTTTTCCAGTTCACCATTCATCCACTGCTCTAGCAATACTAACATCATCGTTAGGTAACACAAAAATATGTTAAGTGACTATAGACGGGGTTTGGATTTGTGACTGGATTTGTTGAACACTTACGCTACTAAATATAATTAACTAGGACATACTGAGTTACACACTCAAATATCAATATAACTACAGCACACAGAAAGTCTTCTTAGTCTTCACTATCCATTGCTTGGTAGCGGCTTCTAACAGCGGGCGCTGCTCTTCCTCTATGTTCCCGAGTTCTCCTCGGCCTCACTTACCAGCTTCTCACGTCTCACAATTGCAACTCTTCTATAGCCCCGGCACGGACGGCACGGGCCGCACGGAAGACGTTTCTTCCATTACTGCGTGTTCTTACGTTCCCCAGAAAACATGTCCACAGAGCTGTTCCCTAGCAATGGATGTTGTACTGTCGTCTGTTTACACAAGTGTTATCTGACAATGGGTATGAATATCACAATATTTTGTAGGAGCGTTAAATCACATCGGCCATGATATGGCTGGTTCTCCGATAATAAATACGTGGACCATTTTTGCTTGCGAACCACAAGTTTCGGACTTGGTCAAAAAACGTGTAAATGCATTAAAGAAGAAACGATCGACGATGACAGGGCGGTGTGACCAGTATCGGATACGGGGCCCTTCACGATGCATGAGGACAAGGAAACTGCTCGGGCATAAGAACAGCTGTGGTGGCCACATGAAGGACACAGAGTGGTTAGAAAGACGCTTTGCTTATTTTTTTATATAAATTATTATTACACACTATGGTTGTCCATCTTCAAACCACTGAGGCCCCATTGTACCTTTGGCAACTAATTATACACCCAACGATGAAATTTTTCCCCAATATAGACATAAATGCGATAGACTTTTCTCCAGACCCTCTCTGAGGCCCACCCAGTCTCCTCTCCAATATGTACCGGAAGCTCTTTCCCCGGGGGTAAAGCGGCCGGAGCTTGAAGCTCACCACTCACATCAATCTAGTGCTGAGGTAAGAAATGTTAGAGCTAAACCTCCACTACCCCCTACGCCCTCATGGCGCACTACTTAATTAGTTAAGCACAGGGATAACTTTGCCTTTCAAGAACACAAACATCTGAACTGCAGTCATCAGATATATGAAACATAAGGATAATAATTCGACAGAAGGGTAACCGTATAGACTTGTATTCTGTAGGTACTGTGTTCGTATCTCGGCCAGGATACCGGCCACTCTGACAGAAGTGGATTAATGTCTTCGTTAGGTCATGACCTCTCCAAATCTTCATCCAGCTATCAAACGACACTTTGTCGTCTGAGCTACCCAGCGCGTCGTAATATGAACTGTCTTCAAAATGTAGCGAGAATTTATACTGAACTAGTTCATAACCGAGTTTCTTTTCACATAAGCAGGCGCTCCCAAACATCGAACACGTCTTTAGACCAAATTTGGTTAAGTTATTTCCGTAAATGTTTGAATATCTTGGAATGAGAAGCCATCTTGTGTACACGAGTTAAATGCTGTGGCACATTTCCTCATATCAAGAATTGTGGAGCCACGGAAACAGACAGTGCTATACTATAACGGCTGTTTAACGCGCAACAATGGAATAAATATTGGAAGAGGTGTTTTATATGTTGTTCGTGCCGAGGGTATGTAACGATGACCAGCTGCAATTGCGAGATAGTCCTGAGACGGCAGTTAGATAAGTAGGAGTTTGATGTGAAATGGTCGCCAGCCTGCGAGGACGTGAACCCGGAAGCAGAAAAACGTCCAGTGTTGGAAGACGTTACCAAGCAGCGCAATGAAAATCGTGACTGAGAACGCTAGTCCGTGTGACTGATCTGTAAAATGTAGTCACGAGTTGTGACCCATATTTCCCATTACTAATCTAAACCCCGTCTTTAGTCACTCGATCGCGTGGCAATATAAATAAGGGAAATGTTTATATAACCTTATACATTTTGGCCCTTCGGAGTAGTCTTCAGATGTAAAGGAACTTGCTTCACAATTGCTTTATATCTTAGCATAATCG